ACTAACAAACTAAAATAAAAACCCAATGTGAGTTTGCTGTCTGCTGAATGTGTGTGAAAGGAAGTTTTTCTTTCTATGTATTACCTGTGTTATTTATGGGTGTTATTCACGAAAATTGTACATTTACTACTCTCTCCGCGTCCAGCTCGCTTATTTTTTATTTGCTGTTTCAATATTATCAAAATTTTATTTACCCTAATTCTAAAAGTGTAGAACTACAATTTATAATACTCAGTAAAATTATCGAAACTAAAATATATTCCAATATTTCAAATTTTCAAACTGTGCCCACAGAAATTTCATACATAAATTCATGGTCCATCTTTACTTAAGATAACATTAAAAATTTATTTAAAAAAATCGAATTAGTTTAGAATACAACTTAAAAGTTTTTTGGTATGGTTATCCATTAAAATACATTATTCTATGAAATAAATAAAACAAACAGTAACGTATACATAATATTTACATATTTAAATGAATGTCCAATATTATACTCATCTCTGTTTTTCTTCTCGGTTACAGTGTTTTACAACATTATTACTAACTTGGAAATAAAATTATTTACTGGCAACATTACACAACAAACACTGTAAACAGGTGACGTGACTGTCGATTCGGCCATTTGTTCTTTCACTCAGTGCCATCAATATTGTGTGTAACATTCGACATTCGACATTTATTTGTGATATTCATTTTTGTGGTGTATTTAAATTCAGTAAGTATTTTCAAGGTTTTATATTATTATGAGAAAAGGATCGTGGTTGCGGAAGAGAAATCGGTAGAAGGAATTTGTCAAAACTAATTGATGACGTTACCACAAAGTTTTTTGTAGTTTAGACACGTGCTAAGTTTTCATATACGGTATTTCTCCGTTACGCTTCTCTGTTACGTAACAGATATGAATAGGTAAAGCTGCGTATATATAGCAAATTTAATTGTTCAATAGAAAATTGCTAACCTATTTATTTTAAAATGTGGGTCATCTATTTATAAAGGTTTCAATTTATGCGGATATTAATATATTTGTAGATTATTGAGTTACAAAGTAATCATCAGTAAGTTATCAAATATTTTTAATATCTACTTACGTACTTCAAACTTCATAACATACGAATCTTGCATTGATGCTGAGTTTCTGAAGATGTCACTAATGTTACACAGTGGAATTAGATACAACTGATAGATAAGCAGGAAATTGACTATTTACGGAAAAACTTTTCATTGTTTTAGAATTGATCGTTGAATCAATCTTAAAACTATGAAAAGTTGACTTTAGTAAATGCAGTTTTTAAAAACTAGAGGAATATCTAATATTACATATATGCTCCCATATCAATGATATACCATTTCATTTTCTCTTAAAACCGGATGATAACAATTTTAATCAATAATGTTCAGATTAATTATTATAGTTAATTTTCATTTTTAATGTAAAATGGCATGATAGATATTTTACATTTTTAGATAAATTGTTGTATAGAGCGGGATTTAAAAAAAGTATGTATAATAAAAATACAGGTAATGTTTACTTTTGTTTTAGATAAAATGCCATTGACATCAGCAGAGCGACAAAAAAGATATAGAGAACGTTTAAAGCAAAATAATCCTATTAAATGGAATGAAGAAAAGAAAAAAGATGCTGAGAAAAAAAGAAGAAATTACAAAAAAGATTTCTGAGTTATCAGAGACCGAAAAAGTTATAAGACGTAAAATTTGGCGGCAACTGAAACAAAAACAGTTGAATCACAATGACAAAACAGACAAAAACTCTAGTCGTAAAATATATAAAGAAAGATATTACAGAATTACCAAAGAAAATAAAAAGCAAAAAAGAAAAATAGATATATTGAAAAAGCATGTAGATTCTCTAAGAAAAAGAGTTTATAGATACAAATTGTTATTGACATGTCAGCAAAATTATAGAGATGACTGTAAAGAAAATGTTGAACCTTCATTACCAACAACGCCAACTTCTTCAATATTAAAAACTGAGTCCTTCATTCAGCAGTTAAAAGATGTACCTTCACCAGAAAAAGATAAAATAAGAAAAGTTATACTCGAAAAGAACATATTGAGCGAATGTTTAACAAAGTCATACAAGAATGCTAAAAGTAACGCTGAAAGAAATATTTTAAAAAATGTAGTCAGCAATGCTGTGGTTCAAGAACATAAAATGAAAACTAGATTGGGTTACTGTATTGGTTTAAAAGGTCGGCCTCGTAATACAATAACACAAGAAAATACCAAACATGCAGTGTTTGCCAGCATAATACGAGATTTCTATTTACAAGATGATGTATCTCGAACAACTGCTGGGAAGAAAGAGACAAAGACCCTAAAAAAATTGAAGATACAAAAAAGATATCTACTTGACAACGTAACTAATTTATATAACAAGTTTAAACAAGATACAGGAATTAATTTGTCTTACACGACATTTTTTAAGAAATAAGCCCTTTTATGTAGTCAGGCCAAAACTTTCAGACCGCGATACATGCGTGTGCAAGAAGCATTCAAATATTGAATTAAAATTTGCCACCCTCAAAAAATTATCAGTTCTAATTGGACATAAAAGTATAAACGATCTGGTTAAATCTTTAGTTTGCAATTCAAACTCTCAGAAATGTATGTATGGGCAATGTACAATCTGTAAAGTTAAAAAAATAACATATGATTTAACTACAATTACACTTGATGAAAATGTTACATGGCTGGAGTGGTCTATTAAAAAAGTAGAATATAAAAAGAATAATTTAATAAAGAAATGTAAACGAAATGTAAAAGAAATTAAGACTGGCGCTTTAAAAGATTTAGTGACTAAATTTGAACGAGACCTACAGGATTTTAATATTCATTTATACAATATCAGCCATCAATACAAAATGTATAAAGATATGAAGGATAATCTTAAAACTAATGAAATTCTCTTACATTGTGATTTTTCGGAGAATTTTTTGCATACGAGTATGATATACCAAAAAAATAAAAAACCACAGAGTTACTGTACTTTATCAGATGCAACTGACCATTCGCCAGAAGCAATATGGGCACATTTAAAACCTATTTTAACCCACATAATTAAACAATCACCAGAAATTGACACACTACACGTTTTTTCCGATGGGCCAACGACACAGTACCGGCAAAAGAAAAACTTTTTTTTATTTAATACAATCATGAAAGATTTTGGTTTAACTGGGACATGGAATTTTTTTGAAGCCGCCCATGGAAAGGGTGCTGCCGATGGCGTTGGTGGTGTTATTAAAAGGCTTTTAGACAGTAAAGTGGCACATGGCAGTGACGTCCTCAACGCCGAATCTGCATATAATCTTTTAAAAAAAGAAACCAGCGTTAAACTTTTCTGCATTGATGAAGAGGACATAAACAGTATTAAGGAAGATTATAAGGCATCTTTGATATCGCTTATACCTGTCCCCAATAATATGAAAATACATCAAATACAAACTACAAATCATTCACACAATATTGAGTCAAGAATTTTAAGCTGTTTCTGTGCTCGTTCACCCAAAAGGGGAATGTGTGATTGTTATTTACTAAAGAATCATAACTTACTAAAACCTACAAAACGTGCAAAAAGGCTTCCATCAACATCTTCTGAATCAAGTGATCTCCCTGTTGATGAAGAAATTGTACCCGATAAACGTATTTTGCCAATAAAATCTAATAGAACACAAAATTCACAAGTAACTATTCTCTCCAATATTAAAGTTAATTATAACCGAGAAACATTGCAAAATCTAATAGGATCTTCAAAATCTTATAACATAGCTACAAATGATATACAAAAAGATTTTAAGGAGCTGATCACGCCAGATGAATTATTACCTTCTGTTTCTAATACCGACGGTAAAATAGGTGTCTTAAAGAAAACTCAAGACAAACGTCTTAATAATTTCTTTTTTCATTTATCTGATGATAGTGAAGATAGTTTCTAATACACATTTTTGTACACAACAAAATAAATAATAATTATGCTAATTTTGTGGTGTTGTATTTCATGCCACGACTATGGAAATTTCTTATATATTTCGAGGCTATACAAAAGTTTAGAATACTTATTCTAAACTATTGTATAGCATATTGTATGCATCACTTTTTAACGCAATATTTTAATAAAAATACAAAATCGCATTACGATGTCGTTTAAGTTAACTTTTATGTTTCAAAGAAGGGTGTTATGTTCCTATATTGTTGTTATTGATTAATGTCACCATAAAGTTTCAAACCGGGATATTAATTATTTTTTGCCACTCCATATCAAGTGATTACTCAAAATTACTTTCCTAAATTAATTGTAATAAAGCAATTTTAAAAGTATTAAATTACTTTTTCTTACAATCATAAATCATAATCACGTTTTCTGCAAATTAACATCAATTTATTGTATAGGAAAGTAATTTTAAAAATAGTTATTATTTTGATATAATAATATAATATACAACCTTCAATTATCTATGCATAAATGATCTTTTTGTCTGTTTACTTCTATTAAAATTACTGATAATCAAAACAGCTTTTTATTAATCTCCTGGATAAAATGAATGACCATCTTTTAAATAATACTTATATTTAAATTTATGCATGTTATGTACTAGTCTTTACAATTCCTATATGTTATCATTTCTGTTACATTAAATTTATTTTCATATCTTTTTCATATCCGTAACGTACAATTATTATGAATAACACCCTTATAACTTGAGTTGGCAGTTCAGTGATGAGTGTATTTTAAAACTCTGTAAGGTGATTTTTGTCTGGTTCATTGACATCTGAAATAATCAAGTTATGTCACATTATACACTATTAAGCATAAAAGGATAATAGAACTGTAGTATTGAAATCCTAACGGCTAGCTCTTTGCATAGGTAGATATTTTAAAGAGATCATTTGAATTGAATGTTTAGATGGTTTGGCTCATATTCTCTTAAATTATATAAAGTTGTAATCTAACATACCTATTTGGCAATCACTGGATTTCACTTCCTCCTCTCCAATGAACTTAATAGGCATCCATCACTGTCATATGAATTTTTTACTTCACAAATTATTACAGGTGCTGCCTGAAAACAATAATAATGATAAGAAAAGCTGCTAAAGCTTTATTTATAAACAAAATTTATAATTATACCTACTTCTTCTACCGTGCTCATAATGGCTCCTTGGTATGGCAGCGGTATAGGTTTAGCGGGTACCCCTCCAGTTTTAAATGAACTACCAGTTTCAGCTTTACGTGTAAAAGCCTTCATGTTACCGCGTGCCCTAATTAAATTACTGTAATCATGCTGGAAGTAAATATTGGTTTCATTTACCAAGGTACAACAGCATAACAAATAACAAACAACACATTTTAGTAATTTAAGAAACCAATGATCCCGATGACTTATAAAGTGATTAAAAATGTAAGTTTATGTACCTTATGAAAATAAACTTGGCCATTAAACTCATGCATTATGAACTCCCATGCAGCTTTATGTTTTCGACTGACTTGCGGTCAGTTGTTTTCGACTCCACAATTGGTTTACTCCATAGATTACTGTATATATACTAGATTTACTCTTTATTAGGGCTGCTAATAGGCCTTTTTCATCGTTGGTGACATTAGGCACTTTAGAGTGAGGTTGGGTTGGATTTAGAATCGTTTGGCAGGAATTTGGAGGAGTAAGGTGTTTTATTTGGTAGGGGTTTGGTCCCCGATTATAATAATACCACAGTACCATTCACATTAAAAGGTAATGCACCGTTATCGAAAAAATAAATAAAAACTATGAAAAGTGATACATTTTTTTATTAACTGAATTTACGGCTTTGGGTTCTAGTCTTTCTGAGAAAAAATTATACGATATTACTGTGAAACTGTGAAAGCTGGATAGCATACAGAATTTTGTGTCTGTGTCGGGAGCAAAGGCAACCTGACTATACATATCTGATCTGATCGAATCTGTACTAAAATTAAATCAGCATGACCCGAATCCACGTAGTCTTGTCTGCCCTACTCTTAAAGTGTTTTTGTAAAGCCGTAGGTGCGGAGGGAGAGCAGCCTCCGCCCGTCGTAGCAAATCTCAGGCACCTGTGCGAGCCGTAGTGTTTGTGTTGTGTGTTATTGTAATATATATTATGTTTATAATTTAAAGTAATTATAAAAGCTAATATTTTGGTGTTTTGTTGAGTGCCAGAGCGAGCGAAAGGACTTGGGCACCCCGACTCGGACAGGTTAGGTTAGAAGAGGATGGCGGGGTCGAGTGAGCGAGCGAATAGATCCCACCGTTCCCTTCGTGGTTACTTGTCTGTAAACCACTGTGCTACATGGTGCTTCCCTCCTCCAACTCTCTCCCCCCATAAATAAGGATTATAGTAAAAAAAAAACAACAAAAACATAACCTCAAAATTATAGACGATAAAAGATAGCTTGATCGCTGTGACTTATGTCAAACTGACATTCCTAGGGTTGTCAGGATATAAAAAATTGCCGATAAAAATTATCGATGTTTCTTACTATTATCTTACTATTACTTTAATTTCAAACGTTACTAAATTAAACGAATATTTTTATTATAAAATTCATTTATTCTCTTAAAGGAGTACACCCCAAATCTATATCTGAATCAGTTTCTGAATTGGTAGAACAATCTTGTAAATTTATTATAAACTCTTGTTCGCAAATATTATCAAATCGGACGTCCCGCTCCCAATCTTCTTCCATTAGTTTTCTGCATTTGGTTACCACCTTCTTCCAGACTTCTGCAGATACATTGTCGACCGCACTTTTTAATAACTGCAACATTTTATTTGCCGTGAAAGGTGGTGTTGTGTTGTATCTGGCAGCGTAACCTTAAAAGAAAACATATTAAGATTAATTAAACAGTAGTTAATAATTAAAGTACCTATCTAACTGAAATTCAAGCAAACAAACCTTTGACTTGGGCCCAGATAAGCTCGATCGGATTATACTGGCAGCGGTACGGGAGTAGTCTTATGACGGTACGACCCTCTTTGTGGGCTATATCATCTAAGACATACTTTGGAGTACTACATTTGTGCAGACCAACGAGTCTTAATAATTCATTTTTAAGCATAGTTTCATTGGCCTCTATTCCTTTTTCTTGAAGCCATGCAATGATTTCTAATTTTCTGTTTGCCGAAATGGTGGTTTGTGCCTTTGGACCGAGTGATATGGGATGTTATCCATAATAATGCAATGTGGCTCCTTTAAATTATCTAATAATTTTAAAAACCACTCCTTAAATTTTTCAAAATTAATTTCCTCGTGGTATTCAGTAGTTTTAGTTGATTTGAATGCCAATAGGCAATTAGGCACAAAACCAGATGATGTTCCAGCATGAGTGATGATTAATCTTTGACCTTTGCCTTCGGGTACTTTGGTGGTTGATTGTGCAGTTTCATCGGTCCAAGCTTTGGATAAGGTATGATTGGCGTTTAACCATGTCTCGTCTAGAAACACTACTTTGTCCCAATTTGTGATTTTTTGACTTTTCGGAGAAAATTCACTCGAGCAAGAGCAATGTCAGTTCTTTCCATAATAATTTTTCTTTTGTCACTTTTTTATAGGAAAAACCAATATTTTTCAATATCTTCGTTAGAGATGGCAAGCTTCCTTTGAACAAGTCTGCGTCTTTGAGGGACGCGGCAAGTTTTTTTAATGTAGGCAATTCGCCCCGTGTATAGTAACCATATACATGGTTGCGAATCGCAGCGGCGTCAAAGTTGTCAATGTTTGTGACAGGAGCAGCCTTTTTCCTTTTTTTATTTGGTGTTGCAAGTTTTTTGTCCTCGTCTTCAGTCAATGCTGCGGTTGAAGATTCGCCATACTTTTCTTTGCTAATGCGAATTACTGTCGCGTGTCCAATGCCAAGAGCATCTTCAACTCTATCACATACGTTCTCCATGGGTAATAGCGGCCCGCCATTTCGGTTCTCTTGCTCAAAATATTCACGTAAGCGAATCACAAACTCACGACTTTGACTGTTCAAAGCGGTTTTCTTCGTTCTCTTTGGCATTATGTCAACAAGAAACTAACAATAATAACAAAAGATAACAAAACTCAACAAATTAACAAACAATAACAAAAAAAAGTAATGAGAACGGAAAACACGTAGCGTATACAAGGCGTCGGCACTCGCACTGAAGAGAATGGAGGTTCATATCAAACAAGATGGCGGCACTAATTAGGTCGGCATGCCCATAAAGTATGACATTGTCAGGTACTGTCTGTATCTGTATTACTAAGAAATTCAGGACTTCATAGGCGTGATTTTACTGACAGCTGTCGCAGAGATCAAGCTATTTTTATGAACCATAGATTTTTAAAAATTTATAAAAAAACTAAGCATGTCCAGCAGGATGTGGAAGTGGGGGGCGACTCTACAACTCCCCCGCCTCCCTTTCCACCACCTCCCATCCCCTTAATTCATTTTGAGTTATGATTTTGAGGTTAGTTTCATTGGATTTTCTTTTTGATTTTTCTCTAGAACGGTGCATTAACTTTTAATGGGAGTAGTATTATTATAATCGGGGACCAAACCTCTACAAATAAAACACCCTACTCGCCCAAATTCCTGCCAAACGATTCTAAATTTCAACCGTGAGGTGTTTTCGGCAGTCCCTCCTAAAATGAAAACGCACATTAATTTTATTGCTTCTCGTCTATTATAAAAAGCATAATTTGATACCTAGTGTAACTACTTACCATATTTTACTTGTTACTTTTTATTTATCCAAAATATATGTTGGATTTGGATATGGTGTGTGAGTTCCGTTTACATAACAGATAGGGGTCACAGAATACACCACGAGAATCCGATACTACACTAGTAGGACGAATTAATAATGAAATTACAACAACACCATACAAAATGATACAAAACTATTTACACAAAGTTCTCTTTTTTTTTGGGGTTTATGGCCGTGTATCCTTTAGGCCAACACAAAGCTCTCGGCTCTGCCTCTGGTAAAAGCGTAGACAGGGAAACCTATAGACAAATTGACGCCTTCTTTCGCATTCACACACGAAAAAGATAGATTTATGCAAACGTCTTGCATAGAAACAACGAAAACCGTTAGTACTCTTTTTAGTTTGTGCATAGAAATGAGACAGAGCGGTGTGATTGTTTGTCCCTTTCTCCGTGCCGGTTTTTGACAACAACTTTGACAGTTTGTGGCGTTCTAAGGACTTTACAAGTTAGTTTTAGTGAGAAAAAAGTGTTTTGTGAACTTAAGATTGGTGAATCTTGTTCAGTTCAGTTCTTAGAACAATTAAAAAATTTATCGAAATATGTTTAAAAGTCATAAAGATTATTGTATAACCTAAAACTACGTTATCGTCCTTTCTCACTCTAGGCCACGCTAATCATTAGTCCATAGGTTTCTATACTACCTATAGACTAATGATCGGCGTGGCCTCGAGTGAGAAAGGACGATAACGAATTTTTAGGTTATACAATAATCTTTATGACTTTTAAACACATTTAGATAAAAATTTTAATTGTTCTAAGAACTGAACTGAACAAGATTCACCAATCTTAAGCTCACAAAACACTTTTTTCTCACTTAAACCAACTTGTAAACTCCTTAAATCACTACGCTGTTAAAGTTGTTTAGCAAACTGTAGAGTTTGCTAAACAAAAAACCAGCACGGAGAAAGGGACAAACAATCACACCGCTCTATCTCATTTCTATGCAAGACGTATGCATAAATCTATCTTTTTCGTTTGCGAATGCGAAAAAAGGCGTCAATTTGTCTATAGGTTTCTCTGTCTACGGGTAAAAGGGTAAAACCTAAAAATTCGTTATCGTCCTTTCTCACTCGAGGCCACGCCGATCATTAGTCTATAGGTTTCTCTGTCTACGGGTAAAAGTTAGATTTTTTTATTAACTGGCTTTACAGCTCTGGGTTCAAGCCCTTCTGAGCCTATTATGTCTTTCAGAATCTTCATTTTTATATTCTTTTTCTTCACAATAAATTAATACACAATAAATAGTTAACTAATCTATCACAATTATTCTAAAAAATAAATCTTTTATTCTATTTTAATAGACTGTCGTTTTTTAATCCGTCCAATACTTTGAATTAAAAAAGAGGTAAGTCGAAACTATTAAAATTAATTCCAAGTTTTATTGTGATTGCCGTCTCTAATTCTTATTTCGCCTGCAAATGTTAGTAAGTAAATTTCGGTTTGGCAACGCCGAAACATGTGTGTGAAAGGGAAGGGTAAAGTGAGCGTAAATACGGTAATAACTAATGTATTATATTGTAACGAGTTCGATAAAAAGAGTTCAGCGTCCGCGCGTTTCTTGACCCTTTATTTGCTGATTTCACGTATTTAAGTTTCACTGCTGGTTTTATATTAAGGTATTTTCATGATTTTTTTTATGAAATTATCGTTTCATTTAGCTATACTAACATGATGGAATGTGAATAAAGCTTTAAACGTT